TCATTGGAAAGACTCCACAACTTAAAGTGACATTTCACATTGGAGAGCTGATAAAATCCTACAAACTCAAGCCAGACTGGCGTTTTTTCTCAGGAGGAATACTCAGGCACGTGCTACAGGACCAGTTATGGGAGAGGGAATACTGTAGACTTGTGTAGGATGGTAAGCTGTTGTGCTGCTCCGCAGGCTAGCCCATACCATACACCCATACACTGATTCCTGCTCTTTTAGGGTAATAACAGGTAAGGTGTGACAGCTTAGTTGTGCACGCCAGTAGGTAAATTACTACTCTTTCTACCTTCATCATCAGAAGGTGCCGTGCTGTGCAGCACAAGGGTCTCAGCCTTTGGGCTGGGTGTATGTAAATTTATTGTATGTTCCCAGCATTTGTGGTTGTGTTTATTTGCCACATCTAAGTAAAATTCTGTTGTGGCAAAAGCTGGTGTTGGAATTGCTTTCCTCATTCATTCATGACTTCACTGTATCCTGGGGAGCCCACCCCGTTACACAACCTACAAGCTCACCATTAGAACCAAGGATCAGGCAAAGTAACCAGCTTTCCCTCACCCCCCACAGAAGTGACCCAGTACTCAACATCCTTCTTTCTAGGCTTACAAATCCATTGTCAGTGTAAATACTGTATGAAGGCCATAGATCGTCGTAAGCATATAACCATTATACCTGCTGTCCATGTTCTCTTGTACAGCATTAGCATACCCAGTTAAATCCAGGTAGCCTCTCCATTTCATTCCTCTTGTTTGGTTTCTATCTCCTGCTTTACCTCTTGAGGAAAATATGAATATTGCAGTCCATACTCAAAGGCTACTTTCTTGTAGAGAATCCTCTGCAAACGAGCAAACTTTGGAAACATTTTTTGTGTCTGTAATACTGGGCAGTATACAGGAGTTAAGAGACTTCTGTACCAGAGTCTTTTCTAATTGTCTGTTAAACTCTGTAGCACTAAAAGTCCTTGTAAGGACTAATTTCCTAGAATCCATGACCACCCATGCCTTTATAAAACAGGGATACCTTAATCTCCCTATTAGCTCCCAGATGCTCCAGGGACAGAGACTCTAATGTTTCTTCCTCAGATAGATCAGCTTGGAATCCACCATCTTGGTGGGCCTTTTTATGGAAATAAAAACAGAAACATTTTTGTTAAAACAAATTAAATTAAATAGGAATGGAGGGGGGTGAGAGGGAGGGGGTGACAGAGAAGAATAAGAGAGAAGGTGGGGGGGGGGGGGTGAGAGGGAGAGAAGGGGGTGAAAGAGGGGGGTGAGAGAGAGAGAGAGAGGGGGGGGGTGAGAGAGAAATAGAGGTAGGGTGAGAGAGAGAGAGAGGGAGGGCGAGGGGAGAGAGAGAGGGAGGGGGGAGGGGGGGAGGGAGGGGCGGGAGGGAGGGGAGAGGGAGAGAGAGGGCGAGATAGAGAGGGAGGGCAAGAGAGAGAGAGAGGGAGGGGGCGAGAGAGAGAGAGGGAGGGCGAGGGAGAGGGAGGGAGGGAGGGCGAGAGAGAGAGGGAGGGGAGAGAGAGAGAGGGCGAGATAGAGAGAGAGGTAGGGCGAGAGAGAGAGAGGGCAAGAGAGAGAGAGGGAGGGGAGAGAGAGAGGGAGGGAGGGCGTGGGGAGAGAGGGGAGAGGGCGGGAGGGGGGGGGGGCGAGAGAGAGAGGGGGGCGAGAGAGGGGGGCAAAAGAGAGAGAGAAAGGGAGGGCGAGAGAGAGGGAGGGGAGGGGAGAGAGAGGGAGAGGGAGGGGGAGGGAGGGCGAAAGAGAGGGGAGGAGGGGATTTCGAGAGAGAGGGGGGGGCAAGGGAGGGAGGGTGAGAAAGAGAGGGTGGGCAAGAAAAAGAGGGAGGGTGAGAGGAGAGGGGGGGGGGGAGAGAGAAAAGGGGGGGGGAGAGAGAAAGAAGAGGGGGGGAGAGAGAGGGTGAGAGAGAGGAGGGAGGAGGGGAGAGAGGAGAGAGGGAGGAGAGAGGGGGGAGAGGGGGGCGTGAGAGAGAGAGGGAGGGCGAGAGAGAGAGGGAGAGAGGGGGGGGGAGAGAGAGAGGGAGGGGGAGAGAGAGGGGGAGGGTGAGGGGGGAGAGGAGGGGGGCGAGAGAGAGGGGGGGTGAGAGAGAGGCAGGTGGGGGGGGGGGGAGGGCGGAGAGGGGGAGGGTGAGAGAAAGAGGGCGAGAGAGAGAGGAGGAAGGGCGAGAGAGAGGGAGGGTGGGAAGGTGAGAGTCAGATATGTTATAAACAATTTATTAACACTAACCATACAAACATAAACGCAGTGCAATACTAAAACAAAACACAGTGCAAACAAACCAAACCAACCACCCACAGATAAACAGTACATACAATGCAAGCGTCGTCAGGCAGGCCGGGTCAATATCAGTCGGGGTCGGGGTCACAGGCCAGGTTCAGCAGGTAGCGGGGCAGCGTGGTACAGAGGGTCAGGCAGAGGAGAATGGTCAGACAAGCCAGGGATCAGAGCAGGGTCAGCAGAGAATCAGGACAGGAACAGAGAGCAGGAACAGGATACAGGGCCCAAGAGAAACACAACACCAAGGCAGAGTCTGCAGGTTCTGAATGTCCCTTAAATACACCAGTATAATTAGTTCCAGGTGTTTGACTGGCTGCAAGGTTGAGTCTCTGATTGCTGGGAGCACCCGCTGGCCAGCCCTGGTACTGCAGCTCATAAGGCAGCTGAGTCCCACTATTGCTGGCCAGTCCATTCCTGACAGTACCCCCCCCCTCAAGGAGCGGCCTCAGGACGCTCCAAACAGTCCTAGCTGGGCAAAATGTTCCACCGCCCGGGGTCTGGTAACTGGGCGGGATATCAAAGACTGGCACACCGGGCAGGACTCCGGGGCAGCGGCACACCGGGGCAGAGGCACATCGGGCAGGACTCGGGCAGAGGCCACCGGGCGGGGGGGGGGGGCTGGACTCCGGGCAGAGGCACATCGGGCAGGACTCTCCGGGCAGAGGCACATCGGCGGGCAGCGGAACACGGGGCAGAGGCACATCGGGCTGGACTCCGGGCAGAGGCACATCGGGCTGGACTCCGGGCAGAAGGCACATCGGGCTGGACTCCGGGCAGAGGCACATCGGGCTGGACTCCGGGCAGAGGCACATCGGGCTGGACTCCGGGCAGAGGCACATCGGGCTGGACTCCGGGCAGAGGCACATCGGGCTGGACTCCGGGCAGAGGCACATCGGGCAGAGGCACACCGGGCAGAGGCACACCGGGCTGGAGACTCTCCGGGCAGAGGCACATTGGGCAGGACTCCGGGCAGAGGCACATCGGGCTGGACTCCGGGCAGAGGCACATCGGGCAGGACTCCGGGTAGAGGGCACATCGGATTACCAGGCGAAGCAGGCAGGCAGCGGGCCACCAGGCGGAGCAGCAGGCACCGGCCCCCAGGCGGGGCAGCAGGCATCCGGGCCCCCAGCGGAAGCAGCAGGCACCGGGCCCCCAGGCGGAGCAGCAGGCACCGGGCCCCGGGCAGAGCAGCAGGCATCGGGCCCCCCCGGGCGGGGCAACAGGCATCGGGCCCCCAGGTGGGGTGACCGGCATCGGGTCCCCAGGCGGGGCGACCGGCATCGGGCCCCCAGGGCGGAGCGGCGGGCACCGGGCCCCAGGAGGGGCGACAGGCATCGGGCCCCCAGGCGGGGCGACAGGCGTCGGGCCCCCAGGCATGGGGCGACAGGCGTCGGGCCCCCAGGCGGGGCGACAGGCATCGGGCCCCCAGGCGGAGAGGCGGGCGCCGGGCCCCCAGGCGGGGCAACAGGCATCGGGCCCCCAGGCGGGCGCGGCGGGCGCGTCGGACCCCCCAGGCGGAGCGGACAGGTCCTCGGGCCCTCAGGCGGAGCGGCGGGCGCCGGACCCCCAGATGGAGCGACAGGTCTCGGGCCCTCAGGCGGAGCGGCGGGCGCCGGACCCCCCAGGTGGAGCGACAGGTCTCGGGCCCTCAGGCGGAGCGGCGGGCGCCGGACCCCCAGGTGGAGCGACAGGTCTCGGGCCCCCAGGTGGAGCGACAGGTCTCGGGCCCTCAGGCGGAGCGGCGGGCGCCGGGACCCCCAGATGCGACAGGTCTCGGGCCCTCAGGGGGAGCGGCGGGGCGCCGGGACCCCCAGGTTGAGCGACAGTCTCGGGCCCTCAGGCGGAGCGGCGGGCGGGCGCCGTCTCGGGCCCCCCCAGGTGGAGCGACAGGTCTCGGGAACCCCCTTCAGGCGGTAGCCCTCGGCGGGGGCGCCGGACCCCCAGGTGGTTAGCGACAGGTTCTCGGGCCCTCAGGCGGAGCGGCGGGCGCCGGACCCCCAGGTGGAGCGACAGGTCTCGGGCCCTCAGGCGGAGCGGCGGGCACCGGACCCCCAGGTGGAGCGACAGGTCTCGGGCCCCCAGGTGTGAGCGACAGGTCTCGGGCCCTCAGGCGGAGCGGCGGGCGCCGGACCCCCAGATGGAGCGACAGGTCTCGGGCCCTCAGGCGGGAGCGGCGGGCGCCGGGCCCCCAGGTGGAGCGGACAGGTCTCAGGGCCCTCAGGCGGAAGCAGCGGGCGCCGGACCCCCAGGCGGAGCGACAGGTCTCGGGCCCCCAGGCGGAACGACAGGTCTCGGGCCCTCAGGCGGAGCGGCGGCCGCCGAAACCCCCAGATGGAGCGACAGGTCTCGGGGCCCTCATGGCGGAGGCGGAGCGGCGTTCGCCGGACCCCCAGGTGGAGCGAACAGGTCTCGGGCCCTCAGGCGGAGCGGCGGCGGGCGCAGGGACCCCAGGTGGAGCGACAGGTCTCGGGCCCTACAGGCGGAGCGGCGGGCGCCGGACCCCCAGATGGAGCGACAGGTCTCGGGCCCTCAGGCGGAGCGGCGGGCGCCGGACCCCCAGGTGGAGCGACAGGTCTCGGGCCCTCAGGCGGAGCGGCGGGCACCGAGTCACCAGGCACGACAGTGGGCTCCGAGTCAACTGGCATGACCGCTGGCACTGGGTCAGACATTGGATCGTCTGGCCTGGACAGTGGGCATCGGGTCACCAGGCATCAGGTCATTTGGCTCGACAGCGGGCACCGCGTCATCTGGCAAGGCAGTGGGCTCTGAGTCAACTGGTATGACCGCGGACACTGGGTCAGACATTGGATCGTCTGACTGGACAGCGGGCATCGGGTCCACCAGGCATCAAGTCATTTGGCTCGACAGCGAGCACCGCGTCATCTGGCAAGGCAGTGGGCTCCGAGTCAACTGGCATGACCGCGGGCACTGGGGCAGACATTGAATCGTCTGGCTGGACAGCGAGCATCGGGTCACCAGGCATTCAAGTCATTTGGCTCGACAGCGGCACCGCGTCATCTGGCAAGGCAGTGGGCTCCGAGTCAACAGGCACGACAGTGGGCACCGGGTCATCAGGTACCGGATTGTCTGGCTCGACAGCGGGCATTTCGGGTCACCAGGTATGACAGCGGGCACTGGGTCACCAGGCATCAGGTCATTTGGCTTGCCAGCGGGCACCGCGTCATCTGGCAAGGCAGTGGGCACCCGGGTCACCAGGCATTGCATCGTCTGGGCTCGACAGCGGCATCGGGTCACCAGGTATGACAGCGGGCACTGGGTCACCAGGCATCAGGTCATTTGGCTTGCCAGCGGGCACCACGTCATCTGGCAAGGCAGTAGGGGGCACCGGATCAGGTACTGGATCATCTGGATCAACAGCGGGTATCGAGTCAACTGGCCTAATAGGATCGTCAGGCTGGATCAGTTCATCATGCTGGGTAGAGGCATCAGGCTGAATGCCGGAGTCCGGCTGAGTAGAGGCTTCAGGCTGAGTAGAGGCATTCAGGCCGAGTAGAGGCTTCAGGCCGAGTAGAGGCTTCAGGGCGAGTAGAGGCATCAGGCCGAATAGAGGCATCAGGCCGAGTAGAGGCATCAGGCCGAGTAGAGGCTTCAGGCCGAGTAGAGGCATCAGGCTGAATAGAGGCATCAGGGCCGAGTAGAGGCTTCAGGCCGAGTAGAGGCTTCAGGCCGAGTAGAGGCATCAGGGCCGAATAGAGGCTTCAGGCCGAGTAGAGGCTTCAGCCGAGTAGAGGCATCAGGCCGAGTAGAGGCATCAGGCCGAGTAGAGGCTTCAGGCCGAGTAGAGGCTTCAGGCTGAAGAGAGGCATCAGGCTGCGTACAGGCATCAGGCCGAGTAGAGGCATCAGGCTGCGTACAGGCATCAGGCTGAGTACAGGCATCAGGCTGAGTAGAGGATTCAGGCTGAGTAGAGGCTTCAGGCTGAATCCCACGGAAGGCAGGTTCACCGGTTTGGATACTGGCAGGATGGTATTGGTTGGAAAGAATTTTCCGCTTTTTTCTGGTTTTAACTACTGGAGCACTGCAAGTAAACCAGGTCTGCAAACGAATGGAGCAGCTGGAGACAGAGAAGAACTGGAGGATGGAACAGGAGAGGGAGCAGTTGCTACAGAGGGCTTTTTTTACAGGGTTAAAGGCAGGATAGGTAGCAGCAAGTGGGAACAGGGTACTGACATGCGGTAGATAGCCAAGTATACTGGGCTGTAACTGGAGGAGCTGTTGGGAATACAGGAGTAGAGCTTTGAGGAAATAGATTAGAAGCAGGACTGGGTTTTTGTAAGCTGACTGAGGCTGGGTGCAACAAGTCTGTCCATGTCTGCAGTAGGGGTTGAACAAAGCTGAGCTTACACAAAGCCTGTCTGACCAAAGACTGCACTGCGTTTATACAATCTCTTAGTGTCTGTGGTGAACATGTGGAATAATGCTCCAGAAAGTAACCCACATCATCCTCTAATAACCATACCAGGGACTCTACCTGGTTCTGCACTAAATGGTGGCAAAAATTCATCCCTGCATTCGGGAGTACCAGATGAAACCAACTCAGCACACAAAACCTCAATCAAAGGCTGCACCTCAGAGAACTCTGTGCCCTGATCTACTAGAACATGAGCGAGCCGTATACATTCTAGCAGTTCATCCCGGGATACTCCTTCAGAGTTTGATAAGCATACTCCCTGTCATCAAACACTAGCAGATATAAATACGCAACCTCATCCAGATCCATCCTTCCCATCAAACAAGCCAAGATGGCTTCCCTGTGCAGCCACTTCTGGTCAGGATTGGCCTTGGTGTAATGTCAGGGCTCCCGGGTATGACCAGAGGTGTGTGACTGAACGCAGGAAAACGCAGACTTCAGATATGTTATAAACAATTTATTAACACTAACCATACAAACATAAACGCAGTGCAATACTAAAAACATAACAACAGTGCAAACAAACTAAACCAACCATCCACAGATAACAGTACATACAATGCAAGCGTCGTCAGGCAGGCCGGGGTCAATATCAGTCGGGCAGGTAGGTACAGGGGGAGCAAGCGGAGAATGGTCGGGGTCACAGGCCAGGTTCAGCAGGTAGCAGGCAGCGTGGTACAGAGGGTCAGGCAGAGGAGAATGGTCAGACAAGCCAGGGATCAGAGCAGGGTCAGCAGAGAATCAGAACAGGAACAGAGAGCAGGAACAGGATACAGGGCCCAAGAGAAACACAACACCAAGGCAGAGTCTGCAGGTCTGAATGTCCCTTAAATACACCAGTATAATTAATTCCAGGTGTTTGACTGGCTGCAAAGGTTGAGTCTCTGATTGCTGGGAGCACCCGCTGGCCAGCCCTGGTACTGCAGCTCATAAGGCAGCTGAGTCCCACTATTGCTGGCCAGTCCATTCCTGACAGGGAGTGAGGGAGAGCAAGAGACAGAAGGGTGAGAGAGAAGGGGAGTAAAAAGAGACACATGGTGAGAGATAGGGGGGTAAGATAGAATTGAGGTGAAAGGGGTGAGGGGGACAGGGTCTTAGAGGGGGAGAGAGAGGGGGTGAGAGAAAATGGGAGAGGGTGAGTGAGAGACACAGGGGGTGGGGGGGAGAGTGAGTGAGAAAGACAGAGGGGGTGAGAGAAAGGGGGAGAGAGAGTGGGGAGGGTGAGAGAAAGAAAAGGGGGATTAGAAAGAGAGATGGGGTGAGAGGGGGGTGGAGAGAGAAGAAGGGATGAGAGAGGGGGGAGGTGAGAGAGAGGAGATGGGGGTGAGAAAGAGAGGGAGGTGGTCAGTATGTCTTCTATTGTGAACCTCTGCTCACAAATGGTCAGTCCACCCAGCAGCACCTCCACCCATCTCTTCACTACTCAGCACATCCCCAACCACACACAGCACATCTAGTGGTGGAGAGGGTGAAGCCCGACACTCAGGTCCAGTCTCTTCAGCCTTGCTAGGGAGAGCCTATCAGGATGCTTCAAAGTAGATTCCCTGCCCATATTCTCTCCCAGGTGTAGCTTCTACTGGGGGGGTGAGAGGAGGTTTCCAGCTACTATGAAAATGGGGGAGACAGAGCAGGGTGTTTGGGAGACAAACATGGCTGGACTATTCAAATAAGGCTCAGTTTTGGCGCCCCATTAGTGTCTAACTTCTACTTATACTATGCCCCACTTTTGCCCATCCTGTGCTCCGTTAACACCTAATTTTTCCCTACAGTGCCCCATACTACTTCTCTCACTGTAGCTAACAAACCCTGCCCACCACCTCTAGAACTATATCACTGCCCAAAAAGGACTTTTAGCGAATCAGGAAGTGGCAAAGAATCTCCACCCATATTTAAATCTAGAGGCAATGCTTCAGTTCTAGAGATGGTGGGGTTTGTCAGCTATAGTGAGAGAAAGAAGCATGACGGGGCACTGGAGACACAGACCTCTCCTTTTGGCCCCACACCCAATCACTGTCCAAATCTTGCCACCTGAACCTCTACAACATCTCCAAAATATGCTCCTCCTTAACCAAGGACACTACAAAGCTACTAGTTCACTGTCTAGTTGCAACTCCTTCCTTATTGGCCTACCTTTACATAGGTTATTCTCCCTTCAGTCCATCATGAATGCTGGTGCCAGACTCATCCATCTTACCAACAGTTGAGCGTCTGCCACCCTGCTCTGCCAACCCCTTCATTGGTTTCTGCTTTCCCAACAAATATTTTTCAAAATAACAACAACATGCAAAGTTATCCACAACTCTGCCTCCAGCTACATCACAAACATTGTCACAAAATTCCAACAAAACCAACTCTTCTCTCCTCCCAAGGCCACCTATTCTTAAGCTCCCTGCCACCTCCTCCCATGCTCACCTCCAGGACTTTTTCAGAGTCTCCCTCATCCTCTGGAACTTCTTATCCCAATCTGTCTCACTATCTAACTAATGATCTGTACTTTTAATTTCTCCATAAAATGATCCTTTGCAGTTATTATCTTTTGTATCACTTGACCCTACCTTTTAGATTGTAAGGGTTAACAAGCTGGGTCATCTGATCTCTCTTGTTTTGACCTGCACTGTAACTGCACTGTCTCCCTCCATTTTGTAAAGAGCTGCAAAAATTGTTGGTGCTATATTAATTATTTAAAATAATAATATTAATAACAAAAATACACCATAAAATGGATCCACATTTGTCAGATACAGGGCCAGAGTCAACGAGCTTTAGTTTACTGCAGCATTGCGTTTCTCCTCATACAAGTCTAAATAAACACAGAAGCAGGTTAAAGTGGGTCAAATCCAGGTCAGAATCATGTCACCTGCAATTCAAATGCTCCTTATTTTAAAAGATTTCAGGAGCAGTCAAAACTGATGTCAAAAGCATGCCCACTAAAGCTTATCAACAAAGGTCCAAAGTGCTTGATGAAAATTACTTAATATATTCGGATTCTACAGCTAACTAAAACAGAACCATAGAATTGAATGCTTTTTTAACTTTGCCCAGAAGGTTCAATAATAGTCTCAAGAATCAAAATCAAAAGAATCAATCATAGAAGATCTGGATTTAAAACTCTATAAAACAAGGTACAATTCAGCTTTGTCACTTTGAGTACAAATTCCTCTGAAACATTTAAAATATAACTAAAATCTATTTTAATCATTTTGGAGCTCACTGGCTGCTTTGTCAAACCACATTATTTGGTTTGACAAAGGAGCAAGTGAGCTCAGAAGCCATGGTCACCAGCCTGCCCTATTGAAGTCACTTCCAGTTCTGCATTCTAGGGTAGTTTCACTTCTGGGATTTGCTACATCATTGCTTCCTGGTTCCTGATGACACTACTGCTGCCTGTTACTGAGAGACTCCCTGGGTGGATAGATTCCTACTTATAATCCATTATGTGCATTGCATACTGTGGTATGTGAGTTTGGTTTTGGCTTTAATAATAAAGGTCTCCTTTAATGCTCTACTTAGCTGGTGCTCCACCAAAGCACATTCCTAAAAGTCTGTGCTATTTTTTGCATTATCCATTTTTCATATTATTTATATGAGAACCTGGAGAGTATGCTGCCTTTTCACTACAAGATGTGCTTTGTTTTTCAGGTTGATTGACTATTTATCACAGAAGACTGAGCACATACTATGAATGAATACATCATGGCCCCACAATGTCACTCTTTATTTTATAGTATATAGTTGGTGTCAGTGTCTGTGATCTCTTTACATTAGCAGAGGACCACCCTGGGCCAGAATAAAGGCTAAGAAGATGTAGACCCAACAATTCTCCTAACAAACCATGTGGGGGGAATCAGGGAAGGCTGATTGGGGAGGCTGGGGATGAACCTGAACTTGGACTTTAAATGGGCTCAGATCGACAGGCCTTCTGATGGTGTGAAAATGTTCCTGCCAAGAAAGTATATTCATTACAGTGGGATCAAGATGTCCAAAGGAAAT